TGGATAGATAATGGTGGTGGTGGTGATGCTATCTAGGATGCGCGCAGGCGAGAGAGAAAAGGCAAGTAGGATGGCGCTAGGCCTAACTAGGTAGACACCTCTAATACACCCCCCTTCACCGAAGCGCTCTACCTGATGCTAAATATATAAAAAAAATCATGATCCTAATCCTCCCCTTAGCCCTTTAGATATCGCCTTTCCCTATATCACTGTCACTATTCGCCATCTTATAGTTGCCATATAGGATACGCCATTTCTTATGGTCGTCCCATGATCCCTATCTGTGGTCGTTTCTAGTCGCGATTTGAAGGTTTTGGTCGTAATAGGAGGGGGGGGGGGGGTTATTGGCGCGTGCCCCTAGGGTTGGCGACACTATTCTTATTGAATTATAATAATAAAAAAAATGTTGATGTTGAATTGTCGATGTTAAATTGTCAATGTTGAATCTTGATGGTGACCTAGAGGCCCCTGCCTATAGGCCTTGCCTATAGGCATTGATTTCTGAATTTTTCTTGTGTTGACGCGACGCGTTGGGCCTGGAGGCTTTATGGCCCCTAGGCCTGGCCTATAGGCCCTAATTCTTAATAGGAATAAATTAATATGAAAAAGATGAATATGATGCTGGACTTAGAAGGAAACGTGACATACTACCATGTTAGGCAACGGATGGCCTGGAGAAAGCGGAAGAGATGTGTGGATAGATGATGGTGGTGGTAGTGATGCTATCTAGGATGCGCGCAGGCGAGAGAGAAAAGGCAAGTAGGATGGCGCTAGGCCTAACTAGGCAGACACCTCCAACAATATATAAAAAAAAAATCATGATCCTAATCCTCCCTTTAGCCCTTAGATATTGCCTTTCCCTATATTACTATTACTATTCGCCATCTTATAGTTGCTATATAGGATATGCCATTTCTTATAGTTATCTTATAATCCTTATCTATGATTATTTCTAGTCGCGATTTGAAGGTTTTAGTTATAATAGAAGGGGGGGGTTATTAGCGCGTGCCCCTAGGGTTAGTAATACTATTCTTATTAAATCATAATAAAAAAAAATATTGATATTAAATTATTAATATTAAATTATTAATATTAAATCTTAATAGTGACCTAGAGGCCCCTGCCTATAGGCCTTACCTATAGGCATTAATTTCTAAATTTTTCTTATATTGACGTGACGCGTTGGGCCTAGAGGCTTTATAGCCTCTAGGCCTGGCCTATAGGCCCTAATTCTTAATAAGAATAAATCAATATAGAAAAGATAAATATAATGCTAGACCTAGAAGGAAACATGATATGCTACTATATTAGGTAATAGATAGCCTAGAGAAAGCAGAAGAGATGTATATAGATAGATAATAATAGTGATGATATCTAGGATGTGCACAGGTGAGAGAGAAAAGGTAAGCAGGATGGCGCTAAGCCTAACTAGGCAGACACCTCTAACAAAAGTTAAAGATAAGGTTAGTAAATTAGAAAGTAATTAAGCCCTTATTATAAAGCTATTAAGCACCTAAAATTAAATAATAATAATATTATTATTATATTTTATAAGATTAAGCTACTAAAAAATATAAAGCTATATAATTAAGTTACTAGATAGCTTAATAGCTAGATATAAGATATAAATAATAAATATATATTTTATAATAATAAAAATTATAATATTATAAGTTATTATTCTCTAGTTATTAATATAGAGCCTATAGGATAGTCCCTAAAGATAATAATATAATATTATAAGCTAATAATAATAAAGAAAATAATAATATTATATATATTAAGATAGCCTAGGAACTACCTAATAACATTAATAAAAAGAGCCTTAAAGATATTAATAAAGATATTAATAATAATAATAATAAATTTAATATTAATAGTCAGTCTTATTTATATAGCTAGGGTATTATTAAATAAATAGATCTCTTTGATTAATTATAATACTATAGATATACTTATAGTATAGTAATAAATAGTTAACTCTAGATTATTCTATATAATATATTTTAAATAAAATACTATTTTTAATTATTATAAATATATAGTTAGTAAAGGCCCTATATATAAGATAATAAATAGCTTAATAATAACTTTTAAGGGCTAAAGTAAGTATAATATATAAATCTTAAATAATAATAATAAGCTATATAATATTATTATTAAATATAATTTTAATTTTAATATCTTATATAATTAATATCTTTAAAGCTTTAGGTAATAAAAAGGTGATTAGACTATAAATAAATATAAAGAATAGATATATATAATATAATATTAATAACTTAATTATTAGTTATATTTATATATAATTAATATTATTATAATTAATTATATAGATAGTAGTAATAAGATATAGCTTTTAAGCTATTAATATATTTATTAAGTATTATTATTTAAGCTATTATAATATTTAAAAGCTTTACTTTATAGTTTATATATTTAG